TGCAATACAAGGTAAAATTTCAAGGTCTTAAAAGAACTTCAAATTGGCATGAAAGTGAATGCATTCTAGAACAAAAAAAAAAAAAAAGAAAGAAAACAGAAAATTCAAAGCTTTTGATAATTTATATTGCGTAAAGGATTCTTTTCAGAAAATTTATAAAATTTTACTAATTTCGCAAAGTTTTCCTTCTCAGAAACAGTTTATATAATTAAGAAGAGTTTGTCTGTTTGTTGTAGATGGTTGGATTAGAGTTCATGCCTTTAAATTTTGAATGCCCAGTTAGGGAACGGAAGGCTTAAAGAAGTTGCTTCCCGATAGCAAAATAGGGTTAAATTTATTTTGCTACAGAAATTTATCTTTCAAAATTATCAAAAGTATAAGTTTACAATTTATTTTATTCTAAATATTTGCTTTCATAAAATGTTTGTGCACTTTGAATTACAGAATAAAAATCTATTTTTCATAGAATTTCTTTATTGAAAATTTGCAACCAATAAATGAAATTTGTTTTAATTTTCTTTAACATTCTAATTCCTAATGAAAATTTGAAAAGAAATTTTTTTATTGGCAAAAAATGAAAGTTTTAACTTTTATTTATTCCAGTTTGATATAAAAAGTTATACAAATTGAACTAAATTAGGTTGTTTCATTGCACAGATCAAGTGACCACCAGTACTAAGGAACTATTCTAGAGTTCACCAGCTGACCACAAGTACTAAGGAACTATTTTAGAGCCATTACAAGAGGTCTTGAACTCTAAGTTTGGTTCACTTGGTATTTCATAGAAATAAAATTTAGTCAGATTTCCCTGTGGAATCTTGCAATGAATCACAAACACAAATGAGGTGAATTTTGTCATTTTTATTTGAATGAAAAAAATATTACAAAAATATCAAAAGTCTTTGAGATTCATGAAAAAGCAGCAATAAAAGCAAAGAGCAAAAATGGTTGTGAAGTGAAAATTATAAGAATATGAAAATGTTTTGAGATTTTAAAAAATATTTTCAGCAAAAATGAAAACCCCAACAAAAATGGAAGAAAAAGTTAAATGTTGTGGATGGAGATTGAAAAACTTGTATTAAGTAAGAAAAAAAAAAACCTGACAGTTTTCTAAATTTAATGAGAATCTAATATAAATTTGTGGAGTCTTATAATTCATAGAAAATAAAAATTGAAGAAATTTTTATTATTAATATAAATAAATCAATAATTACATAGCTTATTAAAAATGTATTTCTTTTATACAAATATGTATTTGTTAACATAATCTCCTTGTTAATGCACTCAATCCGAGGAGTCTCCAGTAAATATTTAAATCAGCCATTATACAGGGGTGTGGAGTTGGGGCTTGTATACCAAAAACAGATGCAACAAAGAATTTTATTCTTCAACTAGCAGTATAACAGTCTGGGAATTTTTACCATTCAATTGGAGCAGTTTAAGTTAGCCCACCCAAAAATCAATATTAGATCAACAATTAGGTGCAACTAAGGCACATTCGCAAATGGGGAGGGTGGCCTTGAAAAGGGCCATTTTTGTGTTCTCAATCTCGTTTCAGCCTCACGTGCAGAAGCATTCAGGTACGCTCTTCTGGAAAGCCAATGGCTACATTGATTTTCAGACTCAGTGGTTCTGATTGAAGCATTTTGAGGCAAAGTGAACGTTCTAAAGACGATTCGTTTATTCGCACAACGGACCTGACAGCAACGGTTTTGCAACTTAGGCAAGTTCTTTTCTTTGGTGGCATGTCTTAGTAAAGTATGAATTGTCAAATGAAATGCGTGGACAAATACCAGAAGAGAACGCTGTAAAGCTACAGGGATCACAAAGCTCAAATAACTTCAGGAAAGTTTGGAAAAATAAATATTGCGTAATAAAAAAAGCAAGCTTATTTATTACTATGGTGAATGCAATTAAAAATCTGTCAGGACAATAAAAACAATTTAAATTGTGAATGGCTATAAACGACAATGAAAGCAATGCCTTAAAACTGTAGTAGTGGACTTTATGCAATGGAAAAGGTAACCTCACTTGAGAGAGATTGAAAGCTTGGCCAAAAGAACGGGAATGTGTAATTTGGACTCAAAACCGGCACTGAAAAAAAAATATCATCGAAATCGGATGAAACTGTGGAGATGCATAAACATCCAATCGCATGCACATGCACGCACATACACTTTGAGAATTATAGATATAGATAATAATATTGTAATAATTTAAAGCATTTATTTTTATTAAAGCTTTTATGAAAGATATATATCTAAAAACAGATAGTAAATAGTAAAACGTTGCTGAAAGTTATAATGAACAGGAAGTAGTGGAGAGCCGTTGTCACCAATAATTTGGACTCAAAATTAGTACTGAAGAATTATCTATCAAACAAAAAATTCATCAAAATCAGATGAAAACTGTGGAAAGGCATAAACATCTGATAACACACATATAAACACATATTTGGAAAATTATAGATATGGAAGATAAAAAATGTTAGAAAAAGATTCAGTGTTTTTTTTTTTTTTTTGGTAGGAAGATATTTCTTCAGATTAAAAAAATCTCCCCAGTTAGACACAAACTTTGTGGATTGAAATTATAATAATTTTGAAATCTGCAGGATCTTGATGTTTGGCTTTCTATTGCTTTTCATTTGTTTTTTTTTTTTTACTTATACTATATTGTATCAGTCGTACGTTTGTAAAGGATATCTATAATTGTATGATCGACAAACATATCACTCCTATTCTCACAAGATAAAAATTAAATCAAAAGCAACTGAAAGCCATATGTAATTGGCTAAATTAAACATCTAAATTTTTGGATGTCAAAATTTAAAAAAAAATGTCTCTTTCTCTCAAAATATTTGGGTAACAATTTTTTTTATGCATGTTTTAGTTGAAGACCAACAAAAGATTTAAGACTAGCATTTATTTAATTTCTCTACAGTTCAGACCATTTTTCTGATTTCTGGGAAGAATTTGAACAGAAGTTGTCAAAGGTCTTCTGGAGGTTTTTGAATGTCCCACCTTCTGAAAATGGTCAGAAGACATTGGACAATTTATGTTCAAATTCTACCTGGAAGTTAGAAAAATGGTCAGAATAGTAGAAAAATTAGATTAAATTAAAATATCAGTAATTTTCATTGTTCTTAAACCAGACATGCATAAATGAAATATTGCTGCACAAATACTCCCGTTCTTATATATATATATAAAAATAAATAATGGACAAAGTCTGACAATTATTTTAAGACATTTTTATGTTTATACATTCTTTTTATAGGTACAAATATTCAAGTAAATGCTCTGTTTATAATAAACAGTATTAAACAACATTTAACGGCCTGAATGTCTGAGAAATTTTCATAGAAAATATTCATCCTCTGTCAGGAATTGAACCTGTATCCTATATGGAACCGTCATATAGCCTGACATGCCTTTAACCAATTTGGCTACAGTGGAGCATTCAGTTAGCAAAGTCGAATTTACAGCTTTTAAACTTCAATCTGCCATGAATATCATGTACATTCATATCTGCTCAAAGTGTGTCCAAATGTAAACAAATAATGTCACACATAAAAATGTCTTAAAATAATTGTCGGACTTTGTCTATTTCATAATGTGTGACATCATTTGTTTACATTTGGATATGCTTTGAGCAGATATGAATGTATGTGAGAGAATCATGGAAGATTATAGTTTAAAGACAGTAAAATCAACTTTGCTAACCGAACGCTCCTCTGTGACCAAATCGGTTAAAAGCACGTCAGGCTATATGACGGTTCCGTATAGGATACAGGTTTTATTTCTGCCGGAGGACGAATATTTTTGATAAAAAATTTCTCAGACATTCAGGCCAGGAAATGTTGTTTAATACTGTTTATTATAAATGGAACATTTACTTAAATATTTGTAATTATAAAAGAATGTATAAACATAAAAAATGTCTTTAATATATATATATATATATATATATATATATATATATATATATATATCCATTAATTCAGGGTATACCCCAAAAAAACATTGACAGTATTTTTAGTCTAATAACATAGCCAATTCTTGCTCAAATGCTCTCAAATTTTAACAAAATGTATAAAAGTTAACAGTGTGGACTTATCTCAATAAAAATCTACCAGGAAGATAGATCAGGCATGCCAGTGATAATTGCCAATGTGCTGTTAAAATGGCCATCACATTCACCTGACTTGAAACCTATGTGTTTAAGACACTTTTTTTATTTATGTTTTTATTTTATTTTTTTTAAACACAAAGAATTATGCCTGGCTTAAACATGGCAGTAAAAGAGAATGCGTTCTTCAGCAAGGCCCAAACTTGCATACTGCTTCATAGAAGAAAACCCCAGCACATACACTTAGATATATTTTTTTTCCTTATAACAGCATGAATTATATCAAAAAACAAGATGTCTACCGAATCATATGTATCCACTAAAATATAACATTTAAGTTAGAATAAATAATAAGGTCAGATTAAAAATATCAAAAATCTATTAAATTCCTTGTAAATTTACACACACACAAATGTAAAAAAGTAAAGATTAATAAAAAAAAAGAAAAAAAAAAAAAAAGAAAAAGTGAGTTTTTTGTGTTAAAGAAATGAACATAACTTGAAAAGGGGCACCTGTGATAACAAGCAAGCCTTGCAAGCCACTGTTAGTGTTTTTGATCCTCATCGGGAACTTTGCTACTGTAAGTGATAGATGAGGTTAAGCTTAGCAAATATCTATTTGAGTACCTGCTATAAGGCAATGCTGAGTAAAACAGCCAGCAAGAGCAATTGATAGTGAATTTGATCCTTACTGAGTCCTTCATAATGCAGCCTTGTGCCAAACTTAATTAGCTTCACTAGGTCTCTAGATGCTGAACAAGAAAAAAGTAAATGAAAAAAACCTTTCACCAAATAAAAACTGGTATCATTAGACTTGAGTGTGTGTGTGTGTGTGTGTGTGTGTGTGTGTGTGTGTGTGTGTGTGTGCAGTAATCAGTAGTCTGGAATTGGTGTAAGAAGATATTTCACCAATGATTCATAACGAATTGGACCATTTGCAGGAAAATTCATTTCTCGGAACATGGTATCAACTGCAAAGAAAAATGGAAAAACTTGAAATGATGCTGAAAATATCTGAAGATAAAAAAAAAATCTCTGAAATCTTTTGAATAAAGAGATAAGAATCCTAAGAATTTTTATAATATTGGATTGGTCTTTGCTTCTCTCAGATATGGCAGAAGTTATATAGAAGTTTTCAATGCACAGACAACTGTTTTTGATTTGGTTTGTTTTGTGGCATATCAACCTCAATGGGTTATTTAATGCCAACAAAATTTTTATTGCTGGTAATTCATTTTTTATCAAATGTATTGCTGGTAAAAAATTTTCCCTTCAAAAATCTATTTCTGGTAATATTTTTTTCTTCAAAAACTTATTGCTGGCAATAAATTTTTTAACAGAGTATTTCTGGTATTAAAACCTATTTTTAAACTTTCATAGTGCTTTGATCCCAGTTTGGGGGTTAAATATTTGACCATAGCCTGGACCCTTTAGGGGTCCCCTCTTAATTGCTGGTGTTCCCAGCAATTAAGAGGTGGTTCCACGCTCCTCAAAGCCTCCTGATCAGAGGCCTTGCTGTTGGACGTAGTTTATCATCTTACCCAGGACACAGATGTAGTTTGTCATACCCAGGATGGATGGACAATTAATAAATTTATAAATATGTATGATGGATTCTGACAAGATAAAAACTGTCTGGCCCGACACAGTGAACCAACTTTCTTAGCAGACGTCGTCCAGCAATGGATTCAATAGAATCATGTCATTTCATATCATTGGAAGACAGACTAAGACAGTGCAAAGTGTTACTCTCCTGTTGGTTAGCATCAGCCAGACTGACGGAAGGCAGAAAGGGGTTCTCTATAATAACTAAAAAAAAAATAGTTTCCTTTTGGAGGCACTAACATTTACTAGCCATTTCTTGCCCCAGTTAACAACAGATTGTAGATCATTTTCAAGACCAGCTGCCAGTTTTACTTTATCAAACTTATCAGGCTTACTATTAAGACGTATGCCATCAACATAGATACCAAATTGGGAACTGATGACATCAGGAGGGTCAAAGATAAGAAATAATGTAGAGCCAAAGAGAGAACGTCTGCATTAATGTGAAAGGTTCCAAAGAAATGGTTATTCAACATCATGACTCATTACTTTCATTGGATCAAATCAAATATTTGGCTGTCAAATGCATGATAGACAAATTCAGTAATAACCGTCAACATAGGTACATCCACAAGATCGGAAAAAAAAAAAAAAAAAAAAAAAAAATATGAGCACAGCATGATGAAAAAGACGCCAAACTTGATGAAAACAAAATTTTATTGTCTAAATATTTGTTAATATTATTTAAGAGGAAAGATCAAAGTATTTTGGGGTTATTTTTTTTTATATTTTTTTTTTTTTTAATATCGTTCCTAGCACGTCCAAAACTTATTAAAAATCTTTTTTTGAGTCAGTAAAATTGACAGATGGCAACCATTTTTTTCCATTTTATAAAAAAAATGAAAATCTCACTTTGAAATTCTTTTAAATAACAATTATCATTTTTTCAAAACTTATTTTAAGAAAATCAGAAATTATGTTTATTTAAAATATTTTAAACCAAGCTTAACTTAGGTTCTGTGCAGAAAAGATGTAATTTGAAAATCAAACAAAGCAGGTCATAAACTTTCACCTCACTTGACAGGTGATGAATGACATTGATGGATTCCGTGAGGATAATTTGTTCTATGGAAGGAGAAAAGTGAAATTATTTAGATTTAAGTGAACAAATTATTTACCTTGTTATTTTTAAAGAAAACTTTCAGCACCCTAATTTTTTTTTTATTTTGTACTTAGCTTTCACCTTTATGTTTACGATGCTTTATGGAAAATATATTATAAAGAAATTAAAATAAGACTTAAGATATAGATTAAATTTCATAAGAAAAAGGTATCTAATTAATTTATAGGTACCTTTCTTCTGAAATTTTATCAGAAGTGTACACAAAATACTATAATTTTATGTACATTTACATTTTACTGTGTTATTTGTATTTCCATTCATTTTATTATTAATTTTGATATTTCATTTCTGGAAAAAATGCCATAACTGAGATTAATATGAAAATAAGATCATATAAATTTCATAAAATGATACTGATACTTGTAGGTACTCTTCTCAGTTGAAATTGAAAAATCAAATTAACTTCTCCACACGTGTTTCGCAAAAGTAAAGGCCTTAACAAAGAAAACACATTTATAATAATTTTGATCATCTGAATAGTTTCTGAAAGTTTCATTAACATCCGACAATTATTTTTGCAAGATTTTCCAAATTAATGTGTCATACCAAAAAAATATGCTAAAAATTGTATGTTATTTTACTAGTTCCGGTGATACAAAGAGAAACAAGGATTTTTAAATGAAAATTCAGATTCTTCTAAAAAGAAGGAAAAATTTTTTTTTAAATAATTAAAATAAACTTTGATCTTTCTTCTTAATAATAACAAACATTTAGATGATAAAATTTGTTTTTGTCAAGTTTGGCGTCTTTTCCATCATGCTGTGCTCTTTTTTTAGCGATCTTGTGGAGGTACCTACGTTAACAGATTGGTGGTTGATCTAGAGAAATGAAAGCCATATAGTTTACCCAAAGAAAGATGTGAGAAGTGAGATGCTTAATCAATTTGGAGTTGATTAGAACCTCGAGAAAAACACAAAAATCAGTAGGACAATCATTTGAGGGATCAGATGTTTCACCAGAATTCTTAAAAACAGGAACTACAAAAGAGGATTTCCAATAATCTGGAAAGCAAGAAGCAACAAGGCATTTATTACAGCTTTTAAAGAGGACAGGAGCCAGTTCAGGTGCATATTTCTTTAGGCCAATTGCAGAGATACCATTAAGTTAGGATGCCTGGTGTGGATCCAGTTTGGAGACTGTAACAGAAACCATGAATGGAGTTATGTGCACATCACTCAATAAAGATTCCGTTCTTAGTGAAAAATCAGCCAAGGATACTCCTCTTGAGTGAAGAGAGGAGTTGGAAGAGAATTTACAAACAAAAGAGTACTGACTCAGAGGGGGAGTGAATACCTAAGCAGTCAAGAGATGACAAATTTTTTGTCTTAATTGTTGTTTGTGTCAAAACAATGTGCATTTTGCACCTTCAAAGCATTATACATTATCAAATGGTAACACGACCATTTAAGTCAACTGGAATTAATACAATGTGGGAGAATTAAAAACAATGAGACTAAAAATAAAAATGATTAACAGCTGAGTGAGTTTTATTTATTCTTTATGTCATTGGGCAACACACACTGAAGAAAATAAAATGCAGACCCCAGGTGCACCCCCCCCAACAAAAACAACACATAACATTGAATGAAGATGTTTAAAATACGTTGAAAATTGTCAGCGTGCAGCAGCATTTGTTTTATACAGGGCTCAAGGATAAAAGCTGTCCTTCAAGTGCTTTGTCCTAGAACTAATAGAAACCGCAACCCTGAGGGTAACAGTTCAAATAAGTGGTACCTAAGATGTATGCTGGTTTTTCATGGTTTTCTGCTTTGCTTCAACAATGAATTACCAGGAGGGGAGCAAGCAGTGGATTGCATTCTGGGTAATCTCTATAACCCTTTAGGGGAGCAGAAGTTAAGTGAAACATCTAAGTTACATTCTACATCACAATTTAAATGTTCAGTACATCTTTAACATTTTCATGTGAACTGTAGCCATTGCTTGTATTTCTCTCTTCAAAATTTTTAAAGACAAAATTGATTCAAGAAATAAAACTTATTTTGTTTGAAGTCACTACACAGCTTTCTGTATTATTTACTTGTTACTATTATGAGATTATTTTTTTTTCCTTCATTTTGATGTACAAGAAACGTTTCAGTGACAGTGTCTTAGTATAATGATGATGGTGTCCTGTCCAAGCTTACTAAGTTGGATAATGAAAATAATGACTATGAAAGGAAAAGTATGAGTGTGTGTATGTAATATGAAAAGATTACTTAACTTCTAAATATCAATTAAGAATAAAATTGATATTTAAAAGTAATCTTCTCATATAATATTATTAACACTATTTTAATATTGAGCATTATATATAAGAATGTCTGCCATTTCTTAAATCCTATGTTCTTTATATATATATATATATATATATATATATATATATATATATATACACACACACACACACACACACATAAATGAGTACAATTCCAACATTTGTAACATTTAATTTAAAAGAGACCCGTAGATTTGAAACCAATGGCTACAACAGACATTAAACAGGAGTTAATATAAATGGATAAATTATACATTAGACATTGTCATTTCCTAAGAAAAAATGAAGTGGTAATTTAACAAATTGCTAGACAAGTTATATGCTTTTGTGAGTTTCCTACATAAAAATTTTTTTTAAAAAAATGCCGACACACACACATATATACAGTTGCTAATTATTTGGTTTATATGCACACTTGTATATTAGTGAGAGTGAGTGAAGCGACTTAGTCCTTGTTAGCACATCTTTGGAGAAAAACACTGATGAGCCATCTGCTGGCACACTAGTAACCGATGATGTTGATGTCATCTTCTTTTCGGATCATTGCTTGTGTTGTCTTGTCATGGATGTCGCTTCAAAATAAGAAATCAGAGAGCAGAGTTCGAATTCCACTTGGGTTTGTTACATTCACTTATGCACAAATACCCTTGAGAAAGGGATGACTCCATCTTTCTCCCCAGCTATGGGTTAAATATCAGGACAGGCTGGGTTCTATAGCCTTGGTTAGCAACCAGTCTACAACAGAAAGAAATGACAACCTACTGCAGGAAAATATTCTGTCTAGTCAGTCATGAGTCGAAAGAGACATGATCGCCCAAGCATGTATCACATATGACACTTAACTGACTGCTCATTTTGGTCAGTCAGATGGGATTGAACATGTGCATTATCTTTCTTCACTTTAAAAATTTCATATGCAGGTATTACAAAATATTTTGAATCTCAATGAATGGTGCATATGGTTGGCC